TGAGGCAGAAGCAAGAAATCTATTGCTTTCTAGTCCGAGATGGTTGGCTGCTCCAGGAGCCGCCATCTTGGGTGAGACCACGTAGGGGGAAGGATCGGAGTGGCCACAGATGCCTGGCAGAACCGCTGAGATAAAGGTGTGGATATTCTTTTCTATTGGTATCTGTTCATTGGTCCCTTGCTATCTGCACACCTCCATTCTGGTGACTATAGGGGTGCCTGAGCTAGTGGGCACCCTAGCCCCACTCTCAGAGGTTCTACTACGCATGCGCACAGATCTCCCTGAAATTTAAAGAGACAGTTTCCAATTAAAACCAAATGGCCACAGCCGGCCCTGATCTGATAAGTTCTTGTGGCGTAGTAGATTATGCCACCACTTGTCCGTGAGTTTGTTATATTGTGGTGACTTGTATGTTGTTGTAATTCTGAAAGCTGTGTCACCGGTATCTTAAGTACCAGCAGGGTCACCAACAGTGGACAGATTTCCGATGAGCTTCCAGTCAAAAACAGACTAGGAAGAAGAAGAGATGAACTACTTCCAAATATTAGTCACTGAAAACCTTATGTATAACAGAGAAACACTGTCAAGTATAGTGCCGGAAAATCAGCCCTCAGGTTGGAAGGCATGCAAAATGCGACTGGGGAAGAGCTGCCTCCTTAAAGTAGAACTGACTGTGATGACACAAATGGAGTAAAGCCTGTGGGAGTAAAGCCCTCGGGACCTTCATTTGCTGATGGTGCACAACGCAAAATGAAGAGAAAAAGTTGTAAACATCCGTTAATAATTGGAACATGGAAGGTATGTATATAGTATGAATCTAGGAAAATTGGAAATTGTCAAAAATGAAATGAATGCTGGACAATGAATAAAGAACACTATAGAAGAATCAATGTATTTGAGTTCTGGCGTTGGAGGAGAATATTGCAAGTACCATGGATTTCCAGAAGAGCAAAGAAATCAGTCTTGGCAGAAGTATAGCCAGAAAACTCCTTGGAAGTCATGATGACTAGATTTTGTCTTTCATCATGCTTGTAAAGTGGAGGGTCAGTGAACAAGAGGAAGGTCCCCAGTGAGGTGGATACACACAGGAGCAGCAGCAATGGGCTCAATCTAGCAACAATTGTGAGACTGGCGCAGAACCTGGTAGTGTTTCATTCTGCTGTGCGTAGGTCATTATGAGTCGGTACTGACTCCATGGCATCTAACAACAATAACTATTCTAAATAAGTTTCACCAGCAATGTGCAAAGTGTCTAAAAGAAAACCTTGCCAGTTCCCAAACTAGTGAATGATGCTAATGTGCAAATTAGTGCCACAAGAGAGAGGTTTTCTAGCAAGAAGATGAGCTCAAGAAAACCAGGAATCAAAATAAGCCCTGACTGTACCCCTTCCCTGAAAAACTAGCCAAAATGGCGTGTTCTACAGGTCAAGCACATCACATAGCTCCGAGAGTAAAAGGAAATTTACATTAGTAAATATGAACTGTCCAAGATTTAATGTATAAGTTATTGCTGTATTTTAGAATAAAAATAAACATTAAAAGACAGAAATGAAAATGGATTAATATCAATATCCTAGGCCATAGTGAACTGAAATAGACTGGTATTGGCCATTGTGAATCTGAAAATCACAGTTTATTATGCCAGTTTTGACAAATTGAAGAGAATTGGCATCACATTAATTGTCAAAAAGAATATATCAAGATCTGTCATGAGGTACAACATTGTCTGTGATAGGATAATACCCATGTGCCTCCAGGGAAGCCCAGTTAATACCACTATTATTCACTAGACCACTCGTGCCAGTGAGGATGAAATTTAAGAATTCTTCCAACTTCTTAAGTCTGAAATTGAGCAAACATGCAATCAAGATGTATTGATAATCACTGGCTATTGGAATGCAAAGGTTGGAAGCAAAGAGGTAGGATCAGTAAGTTGAAAATATTGCCTTGGTGATAGAAATGATGCTGGAGATTGATTGCATGATAGAATTCTGCAAAACTATTGATATGTTCATTTCAAATACCTGTTTTGAAAACCATAAAAGACTACTATACCCCCAAGACCAGAACTCAAAGGGAATACACGACCAGGCATATAATCTTGCTGATGACCATGTTGGTCTACCGATAAAGGGAAATGGGGAAAAACAGCAATGAAGCTGTGAGCTAAGTTGACCATGTTCAATAGACTTATGTCAGCCTGGATTGTGACCTGGGTGGCCAGCAGTATAGTGAGACCTGGGGACTCCTGAGCCCATGGACAGGGACATAGTCACAGAGGACTAGAGCAGACAGCAAAACATCCAACTGATGTGAAGTGACGGTAGATGCACTAGAACGCCCATACTTGCAGATAGTACCCATTTGACCTAGTTTTGATGACTGGATGATCAGAACTCTACTAGAGGAAGAAAGAGGAAAAAGAGTGTAATCTGCTACAATTTGATGAACTTGACTTATACTTATGGATGTAGTAGCTTAAAAGAGGGAACAAATCTTTATAGTAGGGATCATCCCCACCCCCTCTGTATACAGGGTTGACAAGGATGGGCAACTTAGACATTAGCTACCCAAAACTGAGGGGTGGGGGGAGCAACGAGGTATGAAGTGACTGTCTTATAAATTTTCAAGTGGGAGATTAGTTTCAGAGGGTGCAGGGGAAGGTAGGATATTTACTGAGTGGTTTCCATCCTGTCTTGATAGGACTGGTGAAAGGAGATGGGGATAAGACTCTTGTGGTTCAATAGTGAATAATCGCTATCAGGATTGATTTTGAATGTTGCAAATGTAAAGGTAAACTTTTTTTTTTTTAATTTAAGGCTTGTATTGTGGATTAAGTGAAAGTTTACAGGGCACATCATCAGTTTCACATTCAACCATTCACATAAATTGTTTCATTACATTGATTATAATCCCCCCATATACCGTGAGTTAAAAAGTATTTCTCTCTATCCACTTTTTACATCTCCAAAGGACACATTCTGCAAGTCTGCTCCTGGCCACCAGTTTTTAGCCCTTCTCTTCTTAGTTGATGATTCTAGAGTCTTCAGCCACTCCTCCTCTCCATGCCCCTATCTCTGCCTCCATCTCTGGTGCTGCTGCGTCTCTGGATAAGGTCCCACACTCTGCTTATGTGTTCTTAATGGTCCTAGGGTCCTCTGTTTCTGGACTGTAAGATTAACCACTTCCCTTTTTTTTGTTACAAAACTTCTACCTTTACAAGTGTGACAGTCACGATTAGTCATGATAACAGTTCAGGTATTCCAATCAGTTATTGGCTGAAGGCAGGCTTACGAGTTTTCTGTAGTCATGTTTCCTAATGTTCCTTTCTATCCCACTCACGTGTCTATTTTACAATAGTAGGAAAGGGAAACTAATATTCATAAGGCAGTCAAGGATTTTAGTATTATTTCCCCTCTTCAAGCTATACCTAGATCCCTGTATCCCAGAACCCTGTTGTTCCAAGGTTGAGTATGCATCCATAGGTGTAGGTCAAGTTCATTAAATTGTATGAGAATTTTTTTTTTTCTTTCCTCTTCTTTTCACCTCCGTTTGAGCTTTGATCATCCAGTCATCGAAGCCAGGACAAGTAGGCACCATCCGCAAGTGTGGGTGTTCTTATGCATATGCCCTTTCTTCTTATCAGCTGGACGCTTCACTCTCCACTCTAGTCCTCTGTGGCTATGTCACTGACTCTGGGCCCAAGAGTCCCCAGGTCTTGCCACACTGCTGGCCAACCAGGTCTTCACCCGGGTTTGCAGAGGTCTATTGAACGTTGTAGGGCTTAGCTCACCACTTCATTGCTGTTTTTCCCTCATTCCCCCTTATTGGTGTCGAGCGTGGTCACCAATCACAGCGTGTATTCCCATTGAGTCTTAAGTCTTGGAAGGGGGTTTTCTCTGAGGGGACCCGACCACTTGCCTTGATGTTTTCTGGGCAAGCATCCTTCATTCTCTTTAGATCCAGATTAGTAGAGACCAATAGTTTTTCCTAGTAGTCAGGCACCTGGCTGCTGGTGTTTGGGAATAGCAAAAGGATTGTCTATAGAGTCCTGGTGTGGCACTGTAGGATAAGCACTGACTGGCCTGATAAGTACAAGGTTTACGGTTCAAACCTACTAGCCATTACTATGCAGAAACTGTAGAGGCTCTGAGTTGGAAACAATTCCATGGCACTTAACAACCACAATAAGACTTTGACTTGTATCTCTGGTTTTTCTATCTTGGAACCCACCATGGCCTCCATTACCTCTCATTCCTTTAAGTTTTATATATTGTTATTGTTGTTATGTGCCGTGGAGTCAGTTCCGACTCACAATGACCCTGTACAGGGTTTCTGAGGCTGTAAATCTTTACAGGAGCAGAAAGCTTCATCTGTCTCCCGCAGAACAGCTGGTAGTTTCAAACTGCTGACCTTAAGATTTGCAGCCCGATTCGTAACCACTACGCTACCAGAGCTTCTTAGTTTTATATATATATATATAAGCATCATCATCAAAAATTACTTCTCTTATTGGTAAGCTCTTCTATAATATTTAGGTTGTGGAGTCTCACCCTGATAAAAAAGCTCTTTGTCTTCCAGGTTGTCAGATTACTTTGCTTTTATGTATTCTCTCATAAGAATATATCCTAAAATGAGGCTTTTACGTTATAAAAGGTATCAAAAAGTATTTTATTAATTTTGTTTAGTAATTTGGTATTATAGTAGAATCTTTAGTTCATGGAAAGTTTATCTTTTTTTCACAGTTAGCCAGTTATTCCAGATATTAAAGTGAGGGTAATAACAGGAGCTTAGATGCTAAGACTTAAATTGTAATGATGACATGCCCATATAAATGTTTGTCAGATGAATAGCTAGGATGAACTCTGCTCTTAATCAGTGATTAGGGAGTCCTATTTAAACCTCTTCATTTGACTGTAAAGGAAACCAAGGACAAAGTAGATTAAGTTATTTTCTGAAAGTAAATGTTCTCTTTTTTTTTTTTTTTTTTTAAATTTTAGGTGGCTATACTTGAGTCTGCTCAACAACAGGCAGCCAATGTCCCAATCTTAGAAGAACAGATTATAAATTTGGAAGCTGAAGTTTCAGCCCAAGATAAAGTTTTGAGGTATCTATGCTTTTTTATAACTTGAAAAAGTTTTAAAATTAGGTTTCAGGTGAGGAGTTACACAGAAAATTGGGTTCACACTTAATAATTTGTATATAAATTGTTCCATAACATTGTTTGCAATTTTAGCAGTATGTCACCATTCTCATTATTTCTAGTATGTTTGTTCTACTTCCATTGATCCACGACCTCCCTTTTCCTCCTGGCTGTTTCATCTTTGCTTTTGAGTAAATAGTAGCTGTTTAGTCATTTAGTTGATTGTTTGAGTACCTTACTCATAGGTAATAATTATTTTATAACCAATCTATTATTTGACTGCAAAGTGATCTTGAGAAATAGCTTCAGTTACAAGTTCAAAAGCTGATAGTTTTGGGGTTGTTGATAGTCTCTTATCAGTTCAATGGTCTGGTCTTTTTAGGAATTTGAGTTTTGTTCTACATTTTTCTCCCATTCTATCTTAGACTTTTTATTGTGTCTCTGGTCATAACTGTTGGTACATCTAGTTTTTCTGGTCTCAGGGTGGAAGAGACCATGGTTCATGTGAGTCATTAGTCCTGTGGACTAGTGTCCTCTTTGAGTCTTTAGTTTCCTTCATTCTCTTTTGACCCAGATTAGTAGAGACCAATAGTTGTATTTTAGATGACTGTTTGCAAGATTTAAAAACCCCTAATACTATTACTCAAATGAAGATATAGAACATTATCTTTATGAATGCTCTTTATAACTTAAACTTTTAAATTTCCTACTTCTGGTTTTAATTATATCTTGATAAATCTTGTCAACTATTCTACCCCAGTAAATCTGTTGTTGTTGTTAAGTGCTGTTGAGTCATTTCTGATTCATAACAACTTTGTATCGGATTTCCAAGGAGCATTTGGTGGGTTTCAGCTGCTGACTTGTGGTTCACAGTCCATTGCTGATCCAACAGTGCTACACTAGGAGTCCAGTAAATCTGTAGTGGCCTAAAAGTACACAGTTGTCTTGTTGTTGTTAAGTGCTGTCGAGTCAGTTCCGACTCATAGCGATCCTGTATAGGTTTTCTCACAGAGAAAGATGAGGTGGGAGAAAGATGAAGTGGGCTCAAACTGTGGACCTTGGGGTTTGTAGTCCAGTGGTTATTATTTGGAGACATCACACTCCCCCAGTTGTCTTAGAACTAGTTGGATCTAACTGACATGAAGTGCTGCTTTTGATTCTTCATAACTCCGTTTCACTTCAAGCTGCATGTAATAAATATATGGTGCTAAAAATGAATAAATCTACACTGAAATTCTCATGTACATGTGTTTTATTAATGAATTAATCTCTTTCGCATCCTTACTTCCAAGATGACACAGGATAGGAGGAACAACAGTTGTGCCAAAAAGGGCTGCAACCATGTGCAACCTTTTCACTGACCGAACTGCGCCCTCTACAGGCCTAATGACCATTGTTGTTGTTAAGTATCGTGGTGGAGTGGCTTCTGACTCATAGTGACCCTGCACAGGGTTTCTGAGGCTGTAAATCTTTATAGGAGCAGAAAGCCTCATCTTTCTCCTGCGAAACAGCTGGTAGTTTCGAACTGCTGACTTTGAGGTCATTAGCCTGATTCATTAAGACATTTGCAATTCAGAACATAATGGAGTCTGCAGCCATCAGAGACTTTTCCAAAGCGAGTGTCTTCTATGCATACGTGCTTCCCAAGGTGTATATGATGCTTTATTAATTATGTGCATGATGCCATTCACAGCAAGGTGATCAGGAGTCATTCTCATGAAGTCTGAAGGGAAAGAATACCCCCATTCTAATTTAGACTTGCAAATGCTTCTCCATGACCTCACAGCCCATGTGAAGATGTGAGTCTTTAAAGGCTGAAGAAAAAGTAACCTAAAAGAAAATGGAATGGAAAGTATACTACAGTTAGCACAGACCACAAACCACAAGGTCTGCAGTTCGAGCCAGCCAGCACTCTGCAGGAGAAAGAGTGGCTTTTTCTGCTCCCAAGGAGATTTAAAAGTCTCAGAAACCCTATACTAGGTCGCTATGAGTCGGAATCAACTCGATGGCGCATAACAACAACAGCATAGCATTATATACTCAGTGCTTCTGTAGGTGTTCAAGAAATAAAATACAAGGAATCAGACACTTTATATTCTTCTCCTCTTTGCATAAACAGGAAAATATATGCATACTAAATAGCATGTCAATCAATTTGATTGGTTCTCAAAAGACCAGCATTATCATCTGGGAACTTACTAGAAATGCACCATTTTCATGTCCCATTCATTAAGACTTGCTGAATCAGAAAAGTTGAGGAATGGGAACCAGTAATCTGTGTTTTAACAAGTGTGGTTCTGGTGCACACTGTTGTCTTTCATGTCCATCAGAGTTTTGTAATCTTTGTAATACATATCTTATTTTAAGCTTATTCCTAGATATTTCTTATTTTGGGTTATTGTGAATTTCCCACATTCTGTTCATTACTAGTATATAGGAAAGCTACAGATTTTTGTATACTATTGTTATACTTTATTTGGACTGTTTGTCAGTCTCTTATTCTAATAATTTTTCATTTTGATTTTCTTGGATTTTCCATTAAATAAAGAATATGTCATCTATTCATTCCACCATTTATGTTTCTTATTTTTTGTTTTTGCTTTTTTGCATTAAGTAGGCATATCAGAGTAGTTGTAGTGGTGATAATAATCTTTATCTAGTTTCTGAACTATATGGCAGTACTTTTGAATCTGACCATGAAATACCATGTGAGTTGATGACTCAGATATATTTATCATTTCACCGAAGTATTCTATTTTCTGTATAAAAACTCTTAGTTGATGAATGATGAGTACAATGCCTTTCTCTGTCTCTAATTGTTATGTAGTAGTCCTGGTGTAGTGCTATAGGATAAGCATTGAACTGCTAACCACAAGGTCCAACGGCTCTTTGGAAACCATATGCAGGGTTGCTATGAGTTGGAACCAACTCAATGGCACTTAGCAACAACTATAACAGTTGTTCTGCATTTGTTATATACTTGTGTCTCATAATTCATTGATTTATTTTGCATACCTGATTATAATCTCTTTAATCCACCTACCACATATCTAGTTGGATCCAATTTAATGTTGTCCTTAAGTAGAATTGCTCCAGAGTGTTTCTGAGACTGTAAATCTTTATGGGATCAGATAGACTGATCTTTATCCCTTGGATAGTTGGGTGAGTTTAAACTGCTGACCTTTTGGTTAGCAGGCCAACTTTTAATGCACTGTGCTACCAGGGTTCCTTAATCTCTTTAATAGGCTTTAAAAATGTCATTTTTAAAAAAATGTTTTATTGTGAATTATGTGGTAGTTTACATGGGAGAAAAATGTCATTTATTTTATAGAGAGGCAGAAGATAAATTAGAGCAGAGCCAAAAAATGGTGATTGAAAAAGAACAGAGTTTGCAGAAGTCCCAAGAAGAATGTATAAAGTTGAAGGTGGACTTACTTGAGCAAAGTAAACAAGGAAAGAGGTATGTGGGTGAGGAGTGCATATTACCTATTTTAAATAATCATTGATTGATTTAAAATTGTTTATTGTAAATTTATTGAATGAAGGTTTATAGGACAGATCAAAAATTTTACAGTCAGCACATCATTGCGATTATTTCAGTCTCCTCCATGCACCTTCACCTAATGGTATTTACCTCTATTGACCCCTTTTTTTTTGATGTGCACATACCACACTGAAAACAAATGTTATTGTTTTTAGGTGCCATTGAGTCAGTACCGAGCTACCTTATGCATAGTAGAACTCAACACTGCCTGGTCCTGGGCCAACCTCACAATCGTTGATATGACTGAGCTTAACACTGCTGCCACTGTGCCAGTAGGGGCCTTCCTCTTTTTCTCTGACTCTCCACTTTATCAAACATGATATCCTCCTCCAGTGACTGGTCCCTCCTGATAATATGTCTGAAGTATGAGAGACAAAGTCTGGCCATCCTGGCCTCCAAGGACCACTCTGGCTGTACTTCTTCCAACATAGATTGGTTTGTCTTTTTGGCACTCCATGGAAGTTTCACTATTCTCCTCAGTACGATAACTCAGATGCATCAGTTCTTCTATTGTCTTCCTTATTTACTGTCCAACTTTTGCATGCATATAAGGCTATTGAAATTACTATGGCTTAGGTCAGATGCACCTTAGTCCTCAAGCTGACATATTTGCTCTTCAACACTTTAAAGAGGTCTTGTGCAGTAGATTTGCCTAATGCAATATATCGTTTGATTTCTTCACTGCTGCTTCCATGGGTATTGATGGTTGGTGCTAGCAAAATAAAGTCTTTGACAACTTCAATCTTTTCTCAATTGATAATAATGTTGTTTATTGGTCCAGTGGTGAGAATTTTTGTTTTCTTGACATTGAGATGCAACCCATACCAAAGACTGTGCTCTTTGATCTTCATCAGCAAATATTTTAAGTCGTCTCCACTTTCAGCAAGCAAGGTTGTATCATCTGCATATCGCAGGTTAATGAGTCTTCCTCCAATCCTGATGCCACATTTTTCTTCATAGAACCCACCTTCTCGTATTATTTGCTCAGGATACAGATTGAATAAGTGTGGTGAAAGAATACAACCCTGTTGCACCTTTCCTAATTTTAAACCATTCGGTGTTCTCTTGTTCTGTTTGAACAGCTGCCTCTTGGTCTATATACAGTTTCTTCATGAGCACAATTAAGTGTTCTGGAATACTCATGCTTCACAGTGTTGTCCATAGTTTGTCATAATCCACACAATCGAAAGCCTTTGCGTAGTCAATAAAGTACAGGTAAATATCTTTCTGGTATTCTCTGTTTTCAGCCAAGATCCATCTGATGTCACCAATGATATTCCTCGTTCCACATCCTCTTCTCAGTTTGGCTTGAACTTCAGGAAATTCTCTGTCAGTGTATGGTTTCAGCCATTTTTGTATTACCTTTAGTAAAACTTGACTCGCATGGGATATCAAAGATACTGTCCGATGATTTCTGCATTCCGTTGGGTCACCTCTCTTTGGAATGGGCACAAATATGAATCTCTTCCAATAAGTCAGCCAGATAGTTGTCTTTCAAATTTCTTGGCATAGGTGAGTGAGTGCCTCCAGTGCCACCTCACTTTCTTGAAAGATTTCAATTTTTATTCCATCAATTCCTGGTGCCTTGTTCTTTGACAATTTCTTCAATGCACCTTGGACTTCTTCCTTCAGTATCATTGGCTCATGATCATATGCTACCTCATGAAACGGTTGAACATCAACCATGTCCTTTTGGTACAGTGACTCTGTGTATTCCTTCATCTTCTTTTGATGCTTTCTTCATCATTCAGTAATTTGCCCAGAGAATCCTTCAATAAGGAAACTCAAGGCTTGAATTTTTCCTTCAGTTACTCCAGCTTGAGAAATGCTGAGCGTGTTCTTCCTTTTTGGTTTTCTAACTCCAGATCTTTGCAAATTTTGTTATAATATTTTGCTTTGTCTTCTCAAGCTGACCTTTCAAATTTTCTGTTCCGCTCTTGTATCTCTTCATTTCTTCCATTTGCTTTAGCATCTCTGTGCTGGAGAGCAAGTTGCAGTGTCTCTTTTGACATCCATTTTGATCTTTTCTTTCTTTCTTGTCTTCTTAATGACTTTTTTCTTTCTTCATGTATGATGTTTTTATATCATCCCACAAGTCTTCTGGTCTTCAGTCTTTAATGTATCAAATCTGTTCTTCAGATGATCTCTAATTCAGGTGGGATATATTCAAGGTTATATTTTGGCTCTCGTAGACTTGTTTTGATTGATGATATAGAGCTTTTCCATGGTCTCTTTCCACAGATGTAGTCAATTTGATTTCTGTGTATTCCGTCTGGTGAGGTCCTTGTGTATATTCGTCTCTTATGCTGTTTAAACAAGATATTTGAAATGAACAAATCATTGATTTTACAGAATTCTATCATGTGATCTCCAGCATAATTTTTAACACCACGGCCGTGTTTTCCAACTACTGATCCTTCCTCTTTGCTACCAACCTTTGCATTCCAATTAGTAGTAGTGATCAATACATCTTGATTGCATGTTTGCTCAGTTTCAGATTGAAGAAGTTGGTAGAATTGTTCTATTTCATCTTCACTTGCTTTAGTTGTTGGTGTGTAAATTTGAATATTAGTGGTATTATCTGGTCTTCCCTGTAGGCTCATGGATATTTTCCTATCACTGACAGTGTTAGACCTCATGACTGATCTGGATATGTTCTTTTTTACAATGAACGCATCACCATTCCTCTTCAATTTGTCATTCCTGGCATAATAAACCATGTGGTTGTCAGATTCAGAATGGCCATTACCAGTCCATTTTAGCTCCCTAATGCCTAAGATATCGATGTTTATGCATTTCATTTCATTTTTGACAATTTCTAATTTTCCTAGATTCCTAACTTTGAATATTCCATGCTTCCATTATTAATGGATGTTTACAGCTTTTTCTCTTCATTTTGAGTTGTGCCCCATCAACAAATGAAGGTTTTGAGGCCTTTACTCCCATAGGCTTTATTCCATTTGCATCATCACGGTCAACTCTATTTTGAGGAGGCAACTCTTCCCCAGTCACATTTTGAGTGCCTTCCAACCTGAGGGGCTCATTTTCCGGCACTATATCTGACAGTGTTTCTCTGCTATTCACAAGGTTTTCAGTGACTAAATATTCGGAACTAGTTCATCTCTTCTTTTTCGTAGTCTGTCTTCATCTGGAAGCTCATCTGAAACCTGTCCACTGTGGGTGACCCTGCTGGTGTTTAAAATACCGGTGGATTAGCTTCCAGAATCACAGCAACTTATAAGCCACCACAGTACAACAAACAAATGATGGGAATATAGTATATATTTGTTTAAATATCCAAAGGGCATATTTTGCAAGCCAGCCCTCTGCCCGAAGGCACACTGCCTTTCTTAGTTCAGAGACCTATAGTCAGTCCTCTGTTGCTCTGTCTTTCTATACCATTGCTTATGCCACCATCTTTGTTGTCATTGCTTTTCTGTTAAGATCCCTCGTTCCTCTCTTGTACTTCCCTCTCGATAGTCCTAAGGTCCTCTGTTCCTGAAATGACAGATTAACTACTACCCACTTTTAGTTACACCTCTTCTACATTTATAGTTGTGACAATTGCCATTAGGCCTGATATTAGTTACTCACAGTTGAATCATAAAATCCTATCCCCCATATCACCATTCCCATCTGGACAAGAGGGAAACTGTTCAGTGGGGTTTCTATCTTAGTCCCCTTGTTCTGTGACACTAAGCACCTTCATGAAAGTGAAGTCTAAGTTGCCCGTCCCTTTCAACTTAGTGTACTGAGGATGCATGCTTGACCCTTGATATGAAGAATCCTTCCCTCTTTGGTTGGAATTTTGGGACGCTTCATCACATAATCAGTTTGTAGCAATTTATACTTGCTCCCTGTATGTCCTTGTTTATATGTTCATCCAATCAAATTTAGGTCAGCAAGCCATCCAAACTAGGTCAAATGGGTACTATCTGCAAGTTTGGGAGTTCTTGCACACCTCCCCCACTTCAGACTGGCTGGCTGCTTCAGTCTTAACTCTGGCCCCCAGTGGCTTGGTCAGTGCCCGTGGCCTTGGGAGTTCACACGTCTCCCTGAACTTTAAACCTTCCAGCCCATCCACTTCTGTCTCTCATCGCAAGGTCATTGCATGTCTATGGAACATGGCCAATGTCAACTCATGTCTTTGTTGCATTTCACCCAATTCCACTCACATGTTGACCAGGATGGTCACCTGCGAGCATGCAAGCCTGTGTGTTCCCTTTGAATTTAATTCTAAGGGGTTTACCCTGATGGGCTGACTTTTCTTGCCTTGATGGCTCCAAGGCAGACAGCTTGCTTGATACTGTCACAGCCAAACTCGATCTGCTTACCCCTTGTTCATCTTTTTTTCAATTTTCGAGAAGTATCTTCTGTTCCTCTAGCCATTGGGGGTTGGTCTGCATGTCTTTTCAATTGGGTTGTCTGGGTGGGGTTCAGAATTCCACCTCAGGCTCCATACTCCACAAAGGTTTAACAAGAAGCCTGTTTCCCTGGACACATTCTAGTCCCCTTTTAGATAATCCAATCAGTTATATCTATCCCACTTAAATGTCTATATTACTCCAGTAGGCAGAGAAACCCAATATCCACAAAACAGCCAAGCACCTTAACATTATTTCCCCTCCTTTAACCATTCAGACTATGTCTCGATCCCTATATCATACATCCCTGTTGCTCCAAGACTGGGATAATCTACCATTATCCCATTTAATCCTTGTATACCTCCCCAAGTCTTTCCCTAACATTCTCTCCTCTATGTCCTCCCTCTTCTTGTGCATTGCCCTCCTATTTATTGCCTTTCACATTACCCGAGTTATCATATGCCTATCCCTTAACCTGTGAGTTACTTACCCTACCCTCCCCTGGTAACCATCAAAGTATTATTCTTTTAGTGTGGCAATCTTACAATAATG